ATTATTATATGATTATTGTCATCGTCTGTCTCTCTATTATATTCCTTCTAAATACTTCCTACTGCCGTTCTCAGTCGATATCTATCTGTCTACCTCCTCCCACTCTAATGTGGCCTGCAAGCTGGCCTTCGCAGCTCCTCTAATTCCAATCCATTCACATTTCACTATCATTCCTGGCCTGACAGGTCTCATTGTTCTAGTCCAGTCCATTCTTCTCCATCTGCATACATAGCGGTAACGCATACTCTTCCCTCCGCACACTCCTCTTTTGTTATCGTTCGCCCTGCGTCATTGCCACACGGACTTCTCAAGTCTCGCCATCACCACCTCTCTTCACCTTGAGAAGCATGTATAGCAACAATGGTCTGAAATGGTTGCCCAATACTGCTAGACGTTAATCTTCCATGGAGATGGACTTCATTGTGAGTAACCTACTTCTCCGCCTCGTATTGTCCTTTATCATTTTGGCGCATGCATGTGTGTCTTATATACCGACCTACGCCTCCCTTTCACATGTGGCGCTGCGTCAACATTGCGCGCATTTTATTATATCATCATGCTGGCAATGGATACGCCTCGCTGCTCGCTGCAACTCATCTTTCTGTGCGCCTGCTATATGCTTTTGACATTTTCCATATGAGTCCTGGCTTCTGCGTGCTCATGGAGGCGTTGAATCTGACAAAGGACTCGGTGCTGACAATGCCGCTCTACCAGCTCTCTTTAACGCATTTCTGCGAAGTGCATGGTCCCACCTCGATCATCTGTTCGCAGGTCCTACCCTTTTCATGCTCTCAGTGCTATCCTGAGACCTCCGAATGCTCTCCCGACGATACCCCCGCAACTTCTCACGACACCCAGTTTTCTCATGGCATGCGCAACCGCCTCGGCGACGCCAGGGATACCAAGTCAGCGAAACGTCCAGACGCATCCAGCGCAACGGCTAGCAAATCTCCCAAGATCGAAGATTCGCCCTATTTCCTGAAGAATCAACCAAACTCGACCGAGCCTTCCAAGTTGAACATTCTGGGGGGAACGGACGGTGATACTTGCGCCAGCTGTAGCTTGACTCTCCCCGACGATGTGAGTAGGCAGCTGCCCCCGGGCGCTCCAGGAACCGCCAGTCGCGACGGCAAGGGAAGGAATGGTAGCCCAGTTTTGCGATCCAGAGAAGTCGTCTACTCTTGCGGGACGAGCCATTCCGACGGTGACGACAGTGCGCATGATCTGCACGGCCATGCCTCCCTTCCCGATTCCATCCACTCGTCCTCCGTCGCCTCCGATGCTTCGTGTCACACTCACATTCTCACATATCTATCACTCCGTGGGCCTCCGAACCCAGCGGATTATGCACTACTCCGCCGCTCCTCCATCCGTACTCTCAGCTGCGAGCTTCTCCCTCGCGGCCTTTCCTCGGGACCTCTGTGTTTTGGTGATGCGAATGCGGGCTATACCATCGCATACGTCTTCCGCCTGCCCGATCCCATGGCTCGGGGCAGAAGGCGTAGCTATGCGCTTGTCGCGTTGGCCGGCAAGGATGCAGGCAGGGCCTTCCGCGCGTGCCCGGTAATATGGCGTGCGTTTGGGAGAATCGCAACTGGCATTGTCCATTCGGCCGAGAAATACCAGGAGGAGGAGGCAAAGCGTCTCGAGGAACAAAATGACGCAGCGAACCGGGCCAACAATCGGCACTACACCCCCGTCTCTTCTTTCCTCACCGGCCGCAGAGTCGACCCGGATGGTCAGCCCCGCCGACTTGGGCAGATTCGGGCGCGGAACCTCTCCGAAATTGTGGGTAATCAGTACATCTTCGCCGAAATACATGCACACTTTGTTGCTCTTTTGCAACAGCTCGGCTCAATGTTTGGCGCTGTACCGATCTCGGAAGAACGATTCATTTGCAGCACACTAGGCGACGACGTCGATGTAAAATCGCGACGCGGTACGTTAATCGATGACGGGAAGGGTTCGACATCCAAAGACCAGCCGGAGAGCGACTTTGGATTATCTGGTCTGGATTTGTCTTCAGGCCCTAAGCCCATCCCTATCGCGCCTCGTCGAACTGTCATTGCTTAAGAGCTTGAGGCTGTAGCTTCAACTTGATTCCTTTACATACCCCATATCCTCAGCTCTTACCTACATCGCCTGGCTCTCGAGAGCAACCATTGTGACGGATAGTCGCTGCTCTCTCGTCCTATTACCACGACCCGATGACTACTCGATACGACTCTCCTACCTTGCATACGGTTGGCTTTCCCTTCATCTGATTTTCCTCCAAATTGAATTGCAGCATAGACTATGGCGTCCTAATACATGGATACGGTGTTTATGGTACAATTACGGGTTTCGGTTGCCTCTCTGTTTACGTCTTTGCTTACTTTCGTCTCTTCTTCTTCTTCTTCATTCTTCTTCTTTCTTCTCTTCTTCCTCAACGTCCCTCATCCACGCTTCTCTCCCCGAATGTGTGGATAAGTCACAGGTCACCCTGGGCGGATACGTGATATGTTTATCTTGATTCCCCTTCGCTGTCTTCTTACTTACATCACTTTTACTTCTGCTTTTAATGTTAATCACGAAGGAAGGCAGGGATTGCCGGCGCTTGGTTCCTCATGATGTGAATGTCAATGTCGTTACGAAGGTGACGAAACGAAGCGCTTGCAATGTGAGAGCTCATGTTCGCAATGCATATCATGCCACACGCCTCTTTGTATTCTATGTCAGCTGTCTCCCTTGCCTACCCTCTCTCTTCGGGGTTTTGAGTAGATCAATACATATGATCGTCGTGGATGTCTTACTTGGTCTTTGGTATCGGTAGATATGTTCTTGAACCCAGATAGCGTAGGTTACTGTGGAGGACCTCAGATGGGGCAATGTCCTGATCACATTACCTTTTAAGTCTACCCACACCGCGGAGATCGTCGTTGAGCAGACATATCTTCTGGTAGAACATATAATTAATGACCGCTTAGATCCGTATATGTGCGAATTTGACCTCAACGGTAGAAGAAAAAATATATACCACGAATGCAAGCCCAAACCCCTTCAACCAGTTCAAAGAAGATTCAACAACCAAGAACACCGTAATGAAGCTTGCTACCAGTAATCCACATCCATTTCCGGCCGTAAAAGACATGAGCGATAAACAAATGAAAACCCTCATCCTTATCGCCCTGTGATGTAGTCTTTGTTTTCGATCGTCACACTCTTCGTCATATGGCTAACCTTGTAAACACCGACAAGTCGGGAGGCAAGCTCGAACTACTTGTTATTAGCCTTTTGGATATAGAATGACTTGGGTGATGGACCCCCTGCTTACCATATTGTTTCTCAGCGAGATGACAATGAATTGCGCGTTCTTGGTCCTCTCTTTGATGTAGGAGGCCACAATGGAGACCTGTTGAACGCAAGTTAGTCGAAACCATCCAGTTCTCAGGTAGTGAATGTACTCACGTTTCTAAAGTCCAAAGCAGCATCAATCTCGTCCATCACGTAGAGAGGAGTCGGCTTGTAATGGTGCAGCGCAAAGACGAGCGCCAAACTAGAGAGCGTCTTCTCACCACCGGACAAGTTACCAATATTCTTCCAACTCTTCTTCGGAGGCATGACGGAGAACAAGATACCCTCCGAGAATGGATCTAGCGAATCGACCAGTTCCAATTCAGCGTTACCTCCCATGGTGATCATCTGGTACATTTCTTTCAGACGCAAGGAGATAATGCCGAATCCCTCCATGAACCCATTCAGACGAGCGGATCGGAGACCGTCAAGTCGAGCCTTGGCGCTATCACGAGATGCCAGAGCCGTGGCCAAATCAGCGGCGCGAGACTCATGCTCAGCCGCTCTGCGGCGGTACTCCTCAATCACAGACAGGTCCACGGAGGCGTTCTGGGTCTTTTCCTCGAGCGCAGCAATGACTGCCTTCAGAGACTCCTTGTTCATTTCCGAGAGCTCGTCCTTGGTGTACATCTGGAGTTCCGTAGGCTGCTGCTCCTCGCCTAGATCGCTCACGTTCTGAAGGGTGAGCTTCGCGAGTTTCTCGGACCAGTATCGCTGGCGCTTCTCGTTCTCTGTCAATGCCTTCTGATTCTCTTCCAGCTTGTTGCGCATCTCAATCTCTGTGGCCCGGGTTTCGTTCAATTCAGCCACTTTCTCGTCCAGTTCTTGCTTGAGTGTCTTGAGTTCTCCCTTCTTCGTCTCCAAGGCCTGCGCGGAATATGTTAGTCGGGCTGCTCACAATTGGACTGCTGCACTCTTACCTCTTGTGCCTCTTCCACTCCCTGCTTCCAACCGGATGCGTCATTTGCTTGGTTCTCGACGTCGGCGTTCAGCTTCTCGAGGCCTTCCGCGACCTGTTTCAGCTCCCTTTCTGCTTCCGCGCGAGCCTTCTGATGCTTCATGATTAGCTTCTCATTCTTGGATTTTCCGATTTCTGCATTAGAAATCTCTTCTGCGAGGAGGCTGATCTGTTCCTTTAGCCCGTCGACCTTCGCCTTTTGACTTCTCAGCCTAACACCGCCAACTTCCATGATCTTGTTTTGGAGAGTCTGGATTTCTTCCTCAATTCCGCTCTTTTGGGCTCGGAGATCCTCGATTTCTTCCTCAAGGGCGGCAATTTGGGCCTCAAGCTGCTCGGCCTGGTTAGCGTCAGCCTTTGACGGCTTGTGTGCGACGCTCAATTCCTTGACTCTCCGCTGAGCATCCGCAAGACTGCGATTTGCGCTCTCAATCTCTATCATGATCTTCTGGATCTTCGTCTCGACACGAGGGATCTCTTCCGTCTTCTCTCTGATGGCAGCCTCCACGTGTTTCTGTTTATTCTGGAAGTTCTGGAACTTCCTCTCCATCTCTTCGAGATCGGATTCTAGCTTTGAAACCTGCTCCCGGCTCACCTCAGCCACCTGCTTCGAGGACATGCCACCTCGGGCAACTCGAGTGCCGCCTCCGCTCATGGTTCCTGACACGTCGATCAACTGGCCGTCAAGAGTGACTACTCTCCACCGTCTAGCACCGTAAGCAATGCGGTTGGCCTGTTCCAGGTCTTTGGCGACCAGTGTGTTCTGCATAACACTGTAGAACGCAGGCGCGAACTTCGGATCCTTGGGCTTCACCAGGTCAAATAACCTTGGTACACTCTCAGGAGTAAAGATTGGAGACATGTCGCGTCGGGGAAGACGATCGAGCAGAATGAAATTGGCGCGGCCGAGATTGTTTTTGCGGAGATAATCTATACATTGCTGACCGACCTCGACGGTGTCAACCACCATATTGTCCAATGCAGGGCAAGCAGTCGATATAGCAACGTCGTATTTCTCGTCGATGGTTCCAAGGTTACCAAGGCGGCCATGGAAACCATCAATACGACCAGACTCCTTGAGACGCATAAGACCAGCCAGAACACTGCCGCGGTTCTGGGTGCTTGCGAGGCTAGCTCTGGCCTCCTCGGCCTTCTGTCGGGCGCTAGAAACATGCGCACGAACCTCAGTCTCTCTGCTGGTAAATTTCTTGAGATCCTGTTTCAGACTGGCGACTTCTTCTTCGAGACTAGCTTTTTGAGCCTTGCGCTCCTCAAGATCGGTTTGCTTGGTCGCTAGTGTCTCCTCGATAGATGTGACCTTGGACTGCGCTTCTTCTAGTTGTACAGCCCCTGCATTGCTTCGTTCGCGGAGGATGTCGAGCTCACTTTGGGCCACAGCGATAGCGGAAAGCTTCTTGTTGATTTTCTCATCCCATGGCTCCAAGGACTTCTGCTTAGCAGCTATCTGATCAGAAAGACCCTGGGTCTTTCCCTTCAAACCTTCTCGAATTGTGGACAGCTCTTCCTCTTCTGCCTTCATCTCCTCTTCAAGCTCGGCAGTCTCAGCTGTTTTCTTGTTGATATCATCGGTATGTTTCTGCACCAAGCTTTCGCACTCGGAGGCGGCAAGACGAGCAGCTTGCATGGACTTCTCGAGTTTCTTTTGCTTGCCCAACAAGAATTTTTTCTTCTCTTCGAACTTGACTGATTCTTTGTCGTACTTCGCCATCTCCTTCATCAAGCCCTGCAGCTCCTTCTCCATATTCTCATACTCCCGCATACCACGTTTGTAAGCTTTCTCCAGTTCTTTGATACCGGATTGGTTACCCTCGTGCTTCTCGAGCTCCATGTTCAAGAGCTCTTGCATCTGCAGGATCGCTTCTTGAGTGACCCGAATATTGTCAGCGCACTCATCGATGTAAATTTGGTAAAGGGCCGACTGCTTCTGGGCCAACTCATTCTCGTCCTGAATGTAGGCCAAAGCTTTGTTCTTCTTGTCTTCCAACGCAGTCTTTTCCTTCTCGACGTGCTGAACACGATTGTTTTTTTCAACACACACGTCGTTGAGCTGTTCCAATTCGGCTGCTGCCTCCTCAATGGGAGCCTTGTATTTGGACGTCCCGATGATATCTTCGAGATACTCGAGCAGTCCGTCTTCGTGTTCGTTTGCGGCCTTGGGCTTCATTTGAGCGATGGACTCGACTTCGCCCTGAAGAATGAGAAATCGCTTGTGATCAAGATCAATACCTCGCTCTCGAAGCAGAGTCGTCACCGCCGTGAAGTTTGTCTCCTTGTTATTCATGTAGTATTTGCTGGTGTTGTTCTTGAATGCTTTGCGGGATATCATCAGTTGGGAATTTGGGACGACTTCGTGTTCTCCACCTGGCAGATCGAGGATTTCCTGAAAGTGAACCTCAACTTCACAGAATGGTAGGTTGGGGAAGTTCGCGGAGTTGTGGATCAGAGCCGATATTTTGCCCTGTCGCATTTTGCTTGCTCGGAATCCGAATACGAACAGCAACGAATCGATGACATTCGATTTGCCGGATCCATTGGGCCCGACAACAGAGGAGAATGAAGCATGGAAAGGACCTACAATCTGTTTCCCTGCGTAACTTTTGAAGTTTGTCAGAACCAGGTGGGTGATAATCAACCGGGGCTTGGGTCCAGTTGGCTCTTCTGGTACAGGGGGTGCCAGATTGCGTGACTTCATAACAATGTCCATCGGTCTCTCCAAGATCGTCGAATTCGGGTTGATGATGGAGATCTGCGATTTCGGGTCGTCTGAGGGCTTCGCTGGTGTCTGATTTACCGCAGATTCGGTAATATCGGCGAGCGGAGGCACGCTACCTCTTTGCGAGCGCGGCTCTGGTTCGGGCGAGACTGAGGGCCCTGGAGTTGGCAATGAGGACTTTTCCGGATGGAGCGTGGAAGAAACCCGACTCTTGCGGGGATGAGCCATACTTTTTCTTTTCAGAGCTGCAGCCGCATTCTGTGAAGGAGATTCGGGTTCCTCTTCCTTGGGGACGACGGAGTCGCCTTCCTCGTTTGCATTGCTGACTTCTGAGGTATCACCTTGTTCTGCTGTTGTCGACCGTCGCGTTCTTCGTACCTTGCGCGCGGTGGTGGGTGTTGTCGCTTCGGTCATCGTTCGCCGTCGGGACGCGCTCTTTGCTCTTTTAGCAGGGACTGGAGTATATTCTTCTTCCTCATCTTCGTCGTCGTCATCGTTGTCGCTGTGGTTGGATGCAGTGGGGGTCACATTGCCAGGATCTTCTGACTCGGATGTTTCCTCAATAACATAACTCCTTCGGGGAGCAGAGCGCCTAGACGGCCTGGCTCTTGCTAGCGAGGATGACATTATGTCGGAAAAATGCAAGTGGTTTCAGAAAGCCTCATGAAGGCAATGGTGGGATAATCGCTTGTTATGGAGATGTTTTCAACCAGCGATGGTAAGTGGATTAGGTGGGTTGTTTACCTTTTGACCCGAACCGGAAAGGCGTCGTTTTCTGCCATAACAACATGAAACAAATCGGGATCACGTGATCCACCGCCTTCGGCCGTAATTCAGCTGTAAGATACCGTTACTCAGAGCTCCAATATTACGATTTCGCCCAACGCCGATAAGAGCGGAAGACCAACAGTGAGCCAACACTGTCATTGTAACTCATCCTGGTGCAATCATCATGGGTACTTGGGATGATTTTGACAGCATTTTCTACTTCAATAAGAGTTTTACCTACGATGACAAGGTCATTGAACAGATCCTTTCCAACCGCCGCGCGCTAGGGAATCAACTGTTTGCCGACCGACTCTTGGGATTGCTCGGTGTTCAAACTGGTAAGTAATTCGCTCCGTAATTGGAGATTGGAGCGCGAGAGAGGCATACGCTGACGACGATAATGTGCTAGTAAAACAACTGTACCCTCCAAGATCGAATGCGGACCTTCGCGCGCTCGTTAATCACATTGTCTCGTCCGCGCTGGACATCCATCACAAGCAAGCGTTGATCTACTATATCCTGAAGGACTGTCGTGCAGCGAGCGATGTCGCTTCCCAGTTTGCGCGCCGATGCCACCTGCCAGAGAAATACAGATTGTTCATTGAAGGCCTCTGGAACCTGGATAGATTAGAACTGAGAGTATGTCCACGCGCACAGTGCACCCACTCATCATTCTGACGAAGGGACACATTTACAGCGAGCGATCGAATATCTGACTGAGCCCTCAATCATTCCCACCTTCCCCGACGAGATTCTTTATGTCCTGACCCTTCCGCAACTCCCCAAGCACGATGATAATCTTGCTATGGCCTATTATCTCACCGTGACCCCGCCGTTGGCGTCCGAGAAAGTACAAAAAGCCTTTTTCGACATACTTTGCCGTTCCAGCATAACAGAAGCGTTCTATTTCACAAGGAAGCGGGACGAGTCCCTTCGCCGCGCTTATCTTGAACAACTCGTCGAATTTGTTCATAAAACCAGTCCTGGTCAAATGCGAAGCCAAAGAGCCATGGAATTGATCAGTCTTCCGTTGGACAGCATGGAAGAGGAGTGGTTTGAAGAAGCGCTGCTTCGCGGACGCGCAAAGACACTGCACGGTGCGAAGGATACGGCAATGATGCGACGATTTGCAATTGGGAAACTGGACGCACTCTCTACAGAACTAGAGTCACTAGGCGGAAAGAAGATCGATGGGCTGAACTGGGATGCCCTCAGACAGAGCGTAAAAAATACTCACACCTCGGTTCCCAGCGCTGGCGGTCAACTTTGATGGAACAGATCGGCTTGAAAAAAGCTCAGGCAAAGGTTCTTTCTGTTACAGGAGTTTAGAGTGGATTCGGCTTTGTTTTCTTTTGCCAATAAAAGTAGATACAGTGATACCAAAGTAGTAGAAGGGCCAGTGATAAGCAAAGTTACGGGATTTGGACTGAATGATACCTTAGTAGCTGGTGAACTTCTTAAATTCATCGTCTACGGTCATTGTCGAGGAAATACAGTAGGTTAAGGTCTAATTAGTGAAGGTAGTGACTTTAAGTAGTGGGATTCATACTTGCCTCTTCTTCTTGGAAAGACTTCGGGTCGGTGAAATGTATTGTCATCGGACGTAAATGTTGTCTCCCTCTCCAACAAAGATCATCTCCATCTCGATCAGAACTTCCATCTTCGTCTCAATTAATCTTCTTCTGTCAAAAATCACGATACATACAGCATTGAGCGTGATGAATTCGACAGAGTGATCTGCAGCCCTGACATTCAATATACATCCATCAAGGGCACAGTTTCCTACTGGCGTTGCTCTTCCGCGATCACTTGGCGCAATCTGAGAAAAGAAACATCATGGTCGTCTGTACTTTCTTTCAGCAAGGTAGATGTAGATTTGGAGGTATTTAGCTGATTCTTATCGTTATTTATGGAGAAAACCTTGCTGATCATTGTTATAGAGCGATGCAAGTTTGAACATCCTGGACAGCCGACAGTAGGGTCGAGCAATCGGTTTGGAGCCCTCGCTCCCGGAGGAGGTTTCGGAGGTATGCATATTTTTAATTCCATCTTATGGACGAACGAGTTGTTATTATCGTGTTTTTGTGATCGGCAGTGCCTCTACTGTCATTATGGCCTGCATCCGTCTGAGTGTTCTTGTTACTTCCTTCGTCTCTCAGTCGAAGTCTGCGCCTGCCCATGTTCCCGCAACTTTCTTCTTCGTCTGATATTCCGTCTACTCGTCTTCCGGAGCACTGTTCTATGTCACGTCTCTCTCGCAATGTTGTCGCGTCTTTGCTAATAGTAAGCAAAGGTCGTTCTGCGCCTCAAGCTCAGCAACCCGTCAAGTAAGTATAATCTCTGCGATCAGACACGCCAATCTATCTAACAGTACCCCAGCTATGGCATTACTGCAGAGGATATCAAAGTCGATTTGACTGCTGGTAAAGGACTGCCAGAATGGATATTCTCTGCCTATGGACCCGGCCGAAACGCCCCAAGGCAGCTGTTCGGTGGCCCTCAGCGAGAGCAGAGCTTTGAAGAACTACGATTGCGGCATTACGAAGCTGCGGCAGCAGGGAAAGTCGAGCTCGCTGTCCAAGAAGCTCAAGCTTTGTATGCAGAGTCGGTAAAACAGATGGAGGTTGCTTTGAATGATGTTGATGGCGCGGTCAAGTACATTATCGACGGAATCAACGAACATCCGAATCGGATCGACATTACGGAGGGGAAGGCAGGCCCTGCTGCTGATCAGGGACCTTCACCGTTCGGTCAACCATCACCATTCGGTCAACCGGCTGCCGTGGCACAAACATCTGCCTTTGGCCAGCCTTCGGCATTAGGCGGCGCGGGTGCCTCAACATTTGGCAAGCCGGCTGGATTTGGGCAACCATCGGCCTTCGGTCAACCATCTACTCTAGGGCAACCGCCTGGCTTTGGACAACCTAGTGCTTTGGGTCAAGGTTCCCCGTTTGGAAAGCCCTCAGCGCTTGGGCAACCTGCATTCGGGAAACCGGCATTCGGTCAACCAAGCTTTGGCCAGCCTGCTTTTGGCCAGCCGTCAGCGCCTGGAACTGGGACAGGAGCATTCGGTCAGCCAAGTACCACATCTCCGTTCGGTCAGATATCGAGTCAAAATCAGGGGCAAGGCGGCGGGTTCGCTCAGGCTGCTGGAGCAGCGACTACCTCCCCGTTTGCACAAGCTGCTGGTGGCCAACAGCCTACGGCGCCTGCTGGATTTGGCCAACCTTCGACAACGATACAAACGCCAGCACCCCCCTTTGGGCAGCCTGTACAGGCGCCATCGCCCTTCGGACAGCCTCAAGCACCGTCAGCTCCTTTTGGCCAACCCGCTGCAGCCCCAAGTCCCTTCGGAGCTGCGGCTCAACAGGCAGCGCCGTCACCTTTTGGTCAACCTGCTGGAGGTTTTGGTCAAACAGCTCAAGCAGCTCCAGCAGCTCCAGCAACTGCAGCACCTGCAGCACCTGCTCCTACACCGATCGCAGGCACTGGCCCTCCTCCAGCGATCAAGATTGATGATCCGAATGAGTTGAGCCCGATTCCACCTCTAAGTGGGCAGACGGTCAAGGACCCCATGACGCAGAGACTATCAATGTGGAAGGGTCAACCGGTGAAGTACATTGACAACGTCCCTTGCTACCTTCATCCTCAAGACCGTCAAACCTATGTTCGTATCTTTTTCCCAGATGGACCGCCCGATCAAGCGAGCCTAAGAGATGCGCACGGCAAACCGGAAGAATACACACCGGAAATCACCGAGCAATATGAGTTTTTCTTGAAGAATGGCTACTTCAAAGACGGCGTTATACCCAGCGTGCCTCCCAAGTCTGAGTGGGTGAGCTTCGATTTTTGATCACATGTATTAGTGGACCTTTTTATTATGGAGCGAAGCACATATGCGCCGTTCATGTATTATATGATTATGTTAACGATCGCATTACACGTACTTTTGCTAAGGGTTTGATGCTAAGGGTTGAGCGGCGCTGTTGGTTCATTGGGCTCGGACGCGGAGACTACATTTTTACTACGTTTTGCTCGACTACGAGGACAGATAATCATTAGACGGATAAGACCTCTTCGTTGTGCAATTTTTCCCATTTTTGATTCCAGGTTTTAACGGGTATCGACTTTGCCTCGGTAGGAGCCTTCCGGCGTGAAGATAACAATCCACTCAAGGGCCCAACGAGCACAGCGCTAGTGCCATCCCAGTTAAGAGTTGACACCAAACCCTCCCTGACCCCAACTAGATGGAAAACATCTAGGCGGCAATGGTAACCTCAACCTCAACACCAGCCTCGATGTTGATGATGATCTGCTTGACGGTCTCAGTGGGAGCAAGGAGGCTATTGTTCTCGTTAGCGATCTCATGATCGGTCATAAAGACGAACGGGGTAGCTTACTCGATGAGACGCTTGTGAATGCGCATCTCGTACTTGTCCCAGGTCTTGGAACCCTCACCGCAAGGGGTCTTACGGGTGGAGATGTGGAGGGTCTTGGTAGGGAGACGGACAGGGCCCTTGACCTGAAGGGACTTGGAGCGGGCACGTTCGATCAGCTCAGAGCACACCTTCTCGAGAGAGGCGACCTTGCGAGAGGTGAGGGTGATACGGATCTTGTGGACCTTCTAAATCGCGGAAAAAGACTCGGTTAGTTATGCGCAATTGTAGCTCGTCTTCACGGAGGCCGTGAACTCTGAATTCAAGAATGATTAGAACGTACGGGGCCCTCGCCGAACTCCTTCTCAGGCTTCTGGAAAGACATCTTGCTGATTGTGCGGTGAGTTGACCGGGATTGACGAGATGGCTATCGAACACAATTCAATTAGACCTTCTTCAAGAAAAAACCAGACAGAAACGGGA